AAAAGTCAGGTGCACGCACATAAAAACTGGTAAAAAAAAATTTTAGCGGACAATTTTGTCCGCTAGACGGTTTAAGGAATAGTATAGCAAACTTGTTTATTGAAATATAATTATAATAAAGTTCAAAGTATGCATAACATTTATTTAAAGTGATGGTAATTCATCAACACAGTCATACCTTTGAAATTGTTTGAGAACTTGACCCACAAAAGACCTGTTAATATCCAAATGTTCAGCAATTACTCTTACTTAAGCCTTCTAAGTTCTTTTAACTATGTTCCAACGAATATGTTTGAAAAATCTCAATAACAAATACATATGTATTATCGTACGGGTCTTATATAATAACCCGTGCTCATTTGTTATGGTTATTTGCACGGGCTTATATGAAAAACACCTGATTTTCATATAGACCCATGCAAAATGTTTATTTTTTAAAAAAAATATGCTTTTAAAATTGTCTGCATTGAGGATCGGGAAAATTTTTTTTTTTTGAATTGTTAAATAAAGCTTTATTGAAATTTACTAATTTCCACGTTATTACAGGATATAAAAAAACATTTACTCAGAATTGTCAAATTTAAGATTTAACATAATTGTTAAGGGCTGGAATTTGCAATATAATGTTTTGCGTAATAGGATTAAGAACTTGCCGTGAGTGTGGATTCATAGAAACATGCTGTTGAGTAGAATTTTGCTGTTCGATTAGTTGCTGTTGAGGTTTCGATAAATTAAGTTGTTGGTGCTGAGGCTTTGATAATGCAATTGAATTAGGCGATTGATGTTAAGGCTTCAATGGCACAATTGAATTGGGTTGTTGTTTTGGGGTTTTGATAGTGCACCTGAATTTGGTAACTTGAATGGAGGTTTAAAAGGTTCGTAGACAGTTGACTTGTGTTTTGAAACTTTCGATAATTTAGACTTGTTTGAGGTTCAATTTGCTCTTTTAAATTCATATTAGTAATTAGTTTATAAATAAAAAAAATAACAAATTATTTTGATTTTTTTTTTTTTTACCTTCGCATTCATTTGAATTCTTATTTGTTATGGTGAAAATATCCTGATTTATACCTTTTTCTATCTCATTATCGTCATAATTCTCTAATTCATAATTGGTATACAATTCACCCAGATAGGAATAAAATTCTTTAAGATCATCATCAATTGTTGCATTCGGAATTAACATTGCAGTAGAATTTAATTGTTGATCATCAGTAGGCTTGCTATATGATCTAATGTTTAGTACTGCATATAATTTATGAGTTCATGTTGAAAAGACAAGCATAAACTTAATTTTCTGTTAGACGTTTGAAATGTTTTTTAAAGAAACATTTATAATTCACATATTAGTATGCACCTATTTCAAAGCATAAATGTGATTTTTTAAACTCCTACTTATTTTAGGGATAAGTTAATTTTGATCAACAGACCGTAGCCTTATAATTCAAAAAAATATTTTTCAGCCCAATGGCGGCATGAGTATAAATCACATGTTATATGATACTGACCAATCATTTAACATCACTGCCTTGGCACGATAGACTTACGTACTAAATTATTTCGACACAAATACTTTCCACATGCTAGGCCTCAAACACTATGAATTATTACTAATTCATTTAGTTTTTATGCAGAGAACTTAAAATAATAGTTAATTTATTATACGTATTTATTATTTAATAATAATAAAATGCATATACTAACAATTCTATATATAAAATTAAATGTTGGAAAATTCACAATATTGAAAGAAAGTATTTAAGATATTTGTTATAGTAATAATTTAAATAAATATAATTAATCATTTATAATTCAAATCATATATTACATATGCATATTTAATTCCGATATCAATAAAATCAAATACAATATTTTCATTATATTTTACTTTGAATTATTGATTCATTAATATTATCAGAAACTTTGCTCGCATAAGCACGAACAGTATAAAAATAAGTATCAAGCTCAAATAATTCTTTTTCGCATGTTTTAACCAATTCATCATATTCTTTATCAGAAGCCTGCAATGTTTTTGTTAAAATAGGTTTAAGAGAAACTAATGCGTTAATTGCATTACCGACATTCTGTTAATTTTATATATATTAAAAACTTTTTAGGGTTGATTTTTTTTAAAAAAAAAAAAAATTTAGTTTGTACAATAGATTACCACTTTACTAAGCTCGAGATTGTTGTGCTTTGTGCCAAAATAGCTTTGTTTCACCTCTTTTTTAATATTTACCAATTGCTCTAATTTAAAATGTATACATTTATTAATAAATTATTTTACTATTCATTATATAGATTATTAGATAAAAAGTATAAAAAGTCAAAAACCTTGATCTTGTAAATATTTCTCTAATTTTTGATATACATCAAAATCGCCACCTTGTTTTCTTAACAATTCAGCCTCTTTATGACAATTGAATAGAACATTGTGTAAATAAAAGGATAAGCTATTAGATAATTTAATATACTCACCGCCATAATTCCATAAACGTTGAGTAGCAGGTCCTCCATCAAATACATTGGAAGGTTCACATAACTTTTTTTTAAAAAAATAAAATTATTAAAATCTTAAATAAAAGTCATAATAATTTTTCAAATAAGCATACCTCTACGAATCCACCTGGTTTTAAAACTCTGACAATCTCATTTATTATATATGGCCACTTCTCTATAGTATATCCAATAAACAAAAATCGTTGAAATACAAAATCAAAAGTGTTATCATCGAATGGTAATCCTTCTTGAGCATTTGCCTTAATGAATTCAAAATTTCTAGGTTTTATTTGAGTTGGTTGGTATGGAGATATATCTAATCCAACAACATTAATCAATGGATATCTAAGAAAAACATTATATATACAAAGATTAATAATTTAAATAAAATTTAGAACTAAAAGTCCTCACTATTTTTTTTTTTTTTCACTTTCCGATTAACCAATCAGATAATAAATTTTACGAAGCAAAAGCGAAAATACAAAATAGGAATCTAAGACTATCTCAGCAGAATTTTGCTTACAAAGTTGTTCAAATCTTAACTTCAACCCCAACTTTTCATTTTAGATACTCTTTTAAATATGGTAAAAATAAAATGCATAATTATTCATTAGCGTTAGGGTAATACTCACGTGGTTGCAATATCAAATGACCATGACGCTGCGCCACACCTAAAATAAAATTTCATTTTTGAGTTCATAAATTATCAATGCAATAATTGTTCTGAATATATGTAGTTTAAAATCTCTTTTCGAAGAATTCAATTATAAATTTATCAAAATGCGAGCAATTATTGTGGGATTTATAATAAGATAAATAAAACCTTTAAAATAAGATTCTAATTAAAAGGTTCATAACTCGAAAATTAAGTAAACCCTTTTAGAATTATCTGCTATTTCTTGCCACTTTGTCCTTTAAACATATTAATTATTATAATAATATTTACATACATACCCAATATCAAGAACTTTGGCACCTGGTTTAGACAAAATATGTTCGACAGGAGCAGAAAAATTACTTTGCCAGATGTATCTTAGTAAGAAATGTTGAGTATGTAATCTATCTGTTTCATTTTCATCGTTTGGTAAATGATATACAATATTTTCTGCATTATGATATCTTCTACCATCAATGTATCGAAATTCTGCTTGCTTATTTTGTGAATCCATAGAATCGGTTTTTCGGCTTGATTTTAAAAAAAAACGACTTTTAGAAAAATTACTTCCCATATCAATATTATTAATTTAAAGAATGTTGAAGTTTGTTAGTTTTTTGACAAAGTATTAAGGAATGTAAGAAAATGGAAATTTTAAAATTTAAATTATTTATTATTGAAATGATAATAATAAATGTACGTACGTACGTACGTACGTACATATGTTAATGTATATTTTATTATTTGTACATGTGTCAACTATCGTCAATTCATAAATTTCTTCTACATATAAAATTTGTTTATAATATTGATAGTTATGTAACCATGATTTATATTAATTGGAAATAATATATAGTTATTGGATGCTTCGCATCCAATAACGGGAGTTATTTGAAAAATAACTCCATTATCTGGCTGTAAGTCAGATAAATAAGTTATTGGTGTGTAACATCCAATAACGGTGTTATCCGATATCTTTACTATGATTGGACTGACAAATAACTTGGTTATTTGGCAGTCCGATCATAGTAAGATATTGGATAAGAAATTTTATATTAATTGGAACTAAAAATTTTAATCAAAAATTGTAAACCTTTTCAAATATAGTGACCAGTGAAAGTTATCCAAATAATTAGAATAAAAATTCTCCGAACATTCTAAATTACGTGTTGATTAATAAAAAGTTTCCTACGTACGTACGTACAAATAAATTTTGTGCTCTGATTTACGTTTATGGGTTTAGTCAACCAAACCCGTAATTAATGTTACATTAAAAATCCGATCAATCGGAACCGTCTCAAATTAGAACGTCCTTATGTTCGTCTCTATAATAATCAATGAGATTGTAGTATTAAGCAATAGGGAGATTAAAACAAGCTATATCAGTTACAAACTGATAGTTAACTACATACAAACAGTTTATTACGTAAATCTAGCTAACCAAAGTTATTAAACTATCAACAAAATTAATGATTCTTTTATGTGACTTTGTTTTTTTAAAAAATTATGTAATAAACTAGCTTATATATAAAACTTATAATATAGAATTTATAATTTTACGACGTATCAATAGATGTAATAACCAACTGATTTTGACCAAACGATAACGATTTGAGTTAATATAGTTTTATTCTGACTATTTAACATCCCTAGCAATATGTGAACAGGTATGATACGATTTGGTTTAATTAGTTCTGTTTAAAAAAAACTATGCTTAAGACATAGGCTCAAGACGTAGGACTTGAAACATTAATAGTTTAGTTTAAATCTGCCTAATGACACTAATTCAAAATGACAAGGATGAAAAGCTTACATAATTAGATGACTAATAAATGCTCTAACTCAAATTTTATTATTATTCTTTTTTTTTGGCTTGTATCACTGGCACAAATATTTAACCTTAATATTCATGTATTTATATATTTATGTAATATTTGTCATTATTAAATGACGGTACATTATGAATGCATCTACATACGTTGTGAGAGGCAAGATCGACCTCTAAATTCTATTTTTAGCGTTTGGTTCTATTTTTGGAGTTAAAGATGGTACAAATTCCTGAAATTCCTGGAATTCCGAATTCATAGGATTCGAAGAATGATGGGAATTACGAGAATTCATAGAATAGTTAGAATAGCAAGGATAGTTGGAATTCCTAGAATTCCTAGAATTCTGTTATATGTAACGATTAATTATATATATGAGGTAGTTTCCTCCAAAATAAAGATAACTCGGTAGAGTTCGACTCATAGAGAGTCTATTATCATCCTAAAAACGTTTCTAAGTAATTTCCCCGATTATCCAACCTTCATTTAAGAATCTTGTAATCTCGTAACCCGAATTAGAGCCTCGTGACGTAGTATAGAGCTCTATTTGACCCTAATAACTCGGACCAAGTCTTTCCACGCCCTCTTTCGTGCCTTCCACCATTAGGATTGATAGAGTTGGGTAGTTTAGAGTGTTGTTTAGGTAGTATTAGTGTAGATTGATATTCGTAGCGCCGATTTTCCTGATTCAGGTCAAGTCTACACTTCCACAACGTACGTATGTACGTACGTATTAGGGTGGTAACTCAACTAAGTAAATCAAAACTATGTTAGCTACATTGATCATTTTATTATGATCAGATTTTCATTAGTAAAATTAAAATGATCGATCGATCGATTTATATATAATTGTTAATTATAAAGAAAAGCGTAAAATTCTAAAGGATTCACACAAATAGTGTACTTATTTTTCTAATTTCTTTCGATCGGAAACGTCGGACCAGAACTATTTCAAAGTAACTATGTTTGATTTTTTGTGAAGTTATCTATAAAATTTAAATTATTGCTTAAGATAAATAAAATTTTTCGTTCTGTTTAAAGAAATTTAAAACATTCTAAAAGGCGAATGCCCAAAACCTGCAAGTTAATAGAGAATCTTAAACATAGTTTTATTCTTAGACATTTCATAAACATCTTGTGAAAGTTTCAAGGTGATTTCGTGTCTTGATAATGTGTTGAATCATTTAGAATGTATCGTTCAATAGATATAATATGTTAACTATTCCTCTACCGTAATGTCCTTCGGACAACTGTATATAGCAGTTGACTTTGTGTGGCTTAGCGCTGACCCGCCTGCATTATGCAGCCCCGCCAGGGGTCTAGACACTTTTGCAGTAACGTGACCATCACGTGGTGTGACGTTTTTTTGCTTTAGTTTAGGGTTTAGGTTCGGGTTCGTGTTAGGGTTATTAGCTTTATATATTATATGTAAAATTGCATTTCCGACACTTTTTGTTAGTGCTTAAAGGCCGATTTAAACACCGGTTTTTTTGAGTATTTTCGCTTTTTTCTCTTTTTTTTCTTGGTTATTTTCTATGCGCCACGTCACGTTGCTGCAAAAGTGTCTAGACCCTGGCAGGGTTGCATAAAGCAGGCCGGCCGTCAGTACGTATCATAGTGCAGCACTATATGATTGGCCTACTAAATAAGATTTTTAAAATTTTGTCGATCAATTTATTAAAAAATTTATTATTAACAATTAAGTGATAGAGACCTATTAAAATTTATATATTAAATATGGCAACATAGTTTTAAAGTCATGCTCATTTGCAAGTTGCAGAATCGAATTTGCTTTACTATAAAGAGAGTTATGACATTTTTTTAAATGATTAGATTATAGAGACCTACTAAAATTATATAATTAAAACCACATTATTTTTTTTATCATTCGCAAGTTATAAAATAGAAATTTCTTTACTAGAAAGGGAATTATATCTTTTGAAAATGCATAGTTTTTCATTATAATAAATTTTTTAATAATTGGTCGACAAAATTTTAAAAATCTTACTTAGGGCGTTCTCAAGCACCTACCTCAATGGACTCAATAACGAATCTTATTGGCTAGTTTGATCAAACAGACCAATCGGATTTTTTATTGAATTCATTGAGGTACATATGTAGGTGCTTGAGAACGCCAATTATATAAAGTTGCACTATACCAGGAACGGAGTTTCACGGAAGTGAAACGAAAGTTATGGTTTACAGCCATGTGCGATGGTGTACGTTCCCAAACTCTCATATCTGGTTGGTCAGCGTGATCGTAAATCCTTTCCTTTTCCACTTTTACGG